GTGTGTGTGTGTGTGTGTGTGTGTGTGTGTGTGTGTGTGTGTGTGTGTGTGTACGTTAGGGGTGCCACCCAGGAGGCCTTCCCTTCCTGGTGGCAGCCACCTGGGCAGCTGGAGGCTGGGACCTGTTGCTGGAGCCTCCTTCCTCTTGGGGATCGTGGGTGTGTCTCTGTGTGTAGCTTATTCTTTTTTTTTTTAAAGAACCAGCTCCAGGGCTGGTTGCAGATTCTAGAATTATCTAGATGAGGTGATGTTTAGATAGATGGCGGGGGAGGTCCCTCAGAAAGACCTAGAAGTTTTTAGGCTCAGTCTTTGTAAAGACCTGTTTGAAGACGTGAGATGTGTACCTATCCAGACCCCAACCCCACACACTCACACTCCTGCCCTTCAGAGGAAAGGTCTTAGAGCCCTTGAATTAGATGTGGGAAGACTGTAGCTCCTTTTTGCTCAGACCTGGATGGAAAGCATGCTCCTTGGCTGTTACAGCCTGGCGTGACCCTCTTTGTTAGCCAAACGGTTGACCAAAGAATGAAGAGAGGGTGAGCGAGGCCTCGGGGGGAAATTAGGAGACACCCTAGTCCAGCTGTGCCACCAGCTCCTTCAGAGTCCTTCATAACTCACTAGGATTCCATTTCCCCCTCTGCAGAAGAAGGCGCAGGCGCCCCATGTCCCGGGTCTGTCCTCATCAGTCCAGCGCATGCTCCTAGAAAGTCTCTGGGGATGTTGCCCCCAGTCCTGTGACCACAAGTCTGCTTGATTTCCTCGATCCTGGGGACCCCTGGGTTTGGAGTGAGTCACCTTCTTGACTTGAGCCTGCGTGGAGTGGGCCCTTCATGCCCCGAGACAGGCTAGGACAGTCCATTGCTGGACGCAGCATATCATTGAACAGGGTGCACAGTTGTAAACTGCTCAGTTTTTTCTAAATCTTACTTATGGAGGACGGTCACTCTGGGGACGGTCACTCGGTGGATCCGAGCTTCCGTCGGGGGCTTTTACGTGCCATGCCCTGCAGACAGAGCAACCCTGTGAAAATGGTGGCTGCAGAACTGGGGCTCACAGGAGGGAAGTGGCTTCTTCAGCACCCAGTCCAGAAGGGCCAGAATTAGGTTAATCTCCCCCCCTCCCACCCCGGTCATCCAAGCTCTTTACATGGGTGACATGATTCCCATTACGCTGCTGGGTATAGCGTGGCCAGAAGCAGGAGGCCATGTTTGAAGGATGCAGACCCAGTGCAGGGGATCAGGAGGAAGGCCGCAACCTTCGGGGTCTCCACTGAGCCCCCTAACTTTACCCCTCTGTCCACAGCTTCCTTTGCCCACCTCCCAGCTCTAGAGGGATAGGGAGAAATTTGCCTAAAAATCTGATTGAGTCTTCTCTGGCCCTACTCTCCTGGGTTCAGATGAGCCACACCCCGATGTGCCACAGCCTCCCTCTTCCTCCTGGAAGAGGTGACAGAGGACTTTCCTAGACAGCCAAACAGCTGTGTGGCTGGGAGTTCCGTCCAGAGCCAGCCTTGGGAGCGGTCAGGACTCAACACCCATCGTGTGGGTCAGGAAGGAGCCCCAAGTTCAACCAGAGCTGGAGTCCAGTCCTGGGTTCATTCACTACAGAGGGTACAGATAGGCACTGCAGTGACCAGGACAGAGGTCCTCTGGCCTCCTGGGGAGACATTCTTCAGGAGGAGACAGACCCTGGCAGACCCAGCAGTGAAACGGAAAAGGATTCCAGGAGGCACGTGAGGTCTTGGCATAGCAAGACCATAACACAGGCCCTGGCACTGAACAAAAACATCTGCCAGCTTGCAGGATGTGATACTGCGATGGCTTGTCAGTCACACGGGCCCCCCCACCAGAAGCATCTGTCTTTGCCTTTGCCAGTGTCTAGGTGACCATTTTGTCGCAATAGGGGATGAAAACGGCCCAGTGAGCAGAATAGACTATGTGTAAGCGTCCACCACGTTCACCTGCTCTCCCCCGGGGCTGAGTCAGTGTCAAAGGGATGCTGTTTTCTCCAGCGAAGGCCCGCCAGCTCTGAGCTGACTCCCTCCCTCCCCTCCCGGCTTGCCTTCCCCTCTCTGCCGCCACCCCTTAATTTTGTTTTGGTTCCCAGAGCAAGCAGGGACTGGCTTCCCGTTGCCATGACAACAGCCATTAAAAGAGCCAGCCACGTGATCCAGGTTGATAACGGAAGCTAAGTGACTAACTGCCTTGTTTTCCTGCCTCTGGCTGCTGCCAGGAGGCCTCTTGATTGGAGAGGAGAAAGCAGGGGCTTGTGGGCGGCAGAGGAGACCCCTGGAAAGAGATGGGTCCTTTCGGGGAGGGGGAGGAGCTGCAGTTACCTGTGGTGGGGTGTGGGGGGAGGGGCCGTCCTGTCAAGCCATCCTCACAGCTGCTGAGCTGTGTCTAGAGGGGGGGGGCACACCCCACCCCCAGCCCTGAAGTGGAAGCTGGGATGAAAGAAAAGGGGGACGCGCTAAAGGAAGATGAGGGACCGGAGTGACGTTGCCATGGAGACACTTGGGTTTCATTCTAACCTGGCAGTTCTGATGAAGGACCGGGGACAAGCTTGGCCACCTCAGAACAGTCGCCAGATAGCGCTTGCAGGTCACCGTGCAAGCCTTGCAGGTCACCGTGCAAGCCTTGCAGGTCACCGTGCAAGCCTTGAAGGTCACGGTGCAAGCCTCGAACCAAACCCAGGAGTTAATACGTGTTAGTGTCAGTGCGCAGCTCTGCCCCAGGGGACATCCGGCCGTGTCTGGAAATGTTTTGGTTGTAACAGCTGTGGGAGCTCCCGGCATCTGCAGGAAGAGGCCATGGGTGATGCTTAACATCCTGCGGTACACGAGACACCCCCGTATGCCAGCGTCATCATCCCCACCCCCTGCATCATCATCATCACTATGATCATTTCCATCACTCCACCCCCACCATCTACACTAACCCACCACCACCACCATCACCTCCACCCCCAGCATCACCATATCATCTCCATCACTCCACCACCCCCACCGTCAATCTACACCATCATCTACACCACCCCACCACCGTCAGCAGCAGCAGCAGCAGAATCTTCATCCACCTACCATCATCAATCACTGTGATCATCTACTCCCCCTACCACCACCACCCCTACTACCCACATTGACATCATCACCATGATCATCTCCACCACCCATCCCCACCATCATCACCCCATCACCATATCACCACCAATAAATACCACCACCCATGCCGCCATCCTCACTACCACCATCCACACCACCCCATCACTATCGTTACCCGCATCACCACAACCCTCTGCCATCTCCACCCCCACTGTCATCGTCACTGTCACTGTCCTCTCCATCAAGCCCTTACGTGGCCGCCATCATCTCCATCAAGCCCTCATGTGGCCACCATCATCTCCATCCAGCCCTTACGTGGCCGCCATCATCTCCATCAAGCCCTCACGTGGCCGCCATCATCTCCATCAAGCCCTTGCCATGGCCACCATCATCTCCATCCAGCCCTTACGTGGCCGCCATCATCTCCATCAAGCCCTTACGTGGCCGCCATCATCTCCATCAAGCCCTTACGTGGCCGCCATCATCTCCGTCAAGCCCTTACGTGGCCGCCATCATCTCCACCCGCACCCCACTTAACCACCACTTCTGTCACCTCTCACTGTCGCTCCCACACCACCACCGTCATCACCATCACCACCACTTCCACCCCAACCCCTCCATCACCACCCAACACCACCACCATCACCACGGGAAGACTCCTGCTTAGAACAGATGGCAGTGGTTCTAGCTATGATCTTCAGTCTCTGGAAGCACGGCTCAGGGGTAGATGTGTGTGAAGGGAGGAGATGGTGGGGGAAAATGCATTTGTCTCGACTTGTACTGGGCTGGGGCTGCCAGTGTGCCGACTTCCCAGGCGGGTAAGAGCAGGGGAGGGCGGGCTCTGAGAAAGTTGCATCTAATGACGATCAAGGTGGACGCCTCCCAGCTCCTAGAAAGGACGACGTCTTCTCCTTTCCCTCTCCCACGTTGTCTCCTTTCACAATCCACAAATGTTTATTGAGCATCCCTGGACCATAACCTTGTTCAGGAAGGTGCAGCCTG